ATGGCAGCGATGAGCCGCGGCCTGGCCACTGCGCTCCTCCTGGCCACCGCGCTGTGCTGCCTGGCTCAGGGACAGCACGGAATCGCCGAGTCCAGGTCCCTTCGCGTCCAGGGTGACCTCGATACGCATGGGTTCCACGGTGTCCAGAGATTTCGGCAACTGCTGAAGATTCACGAGAACCGCCATAATCTTCCCGGGGGCGTGATACTTGCGCGTCCACCTCAGGCGCCGACGACCCATCCCGCCGCCCACGAGTTTTTCACGACTCCAGCCCTATCATTCCCTGTAAACTCGTCCAGTCTTACACGACCTTCCGCGGCAGACACGCCCCTCCCTCCTCTTGAACATCACCACCATGAGGCGCAGGGATCTCTAGGACTCTCGCCCGCCCTCGAGTCGCCAACACTCCTGGATCATTCCGAAGCTTCTCCGCCAACCACGTCTCCACATGGCGTGCCTCAGACATCCCAGCCTGCCCAGTCACCCCCCGGATCGCAGGTGCCTTCACATTCCTTGCCTCACTTCGAGTCTACAAGAGTGGCCCGGCCAGCGCCCGAGGCCCCGAGAGTGCCCGAGATTCCGGCCCATCTGCCCCTCGACCTAGTCAGCCGCCTCAAGGAGTACCCCACCCTGGAGGAGTCCCTCAATCAAGCGCCTTTACCGGCCTCCATGCACACCTTCTTCGAACCAACAATACAGGTACATATCTTTGTTCATAGATTGGAATTACTAATTTTTCGTTATAGAATGTTAAGACCTACGCTATAGACTGGTTGTCATTGAATAATAACTTTCTCGAAAATATATACAGAAAACTAGATAAAAAAGACACCGAAGTAATTGAAAAAAGCTAAATCCGTTCCTAAAAAAATGGAGAGCAACGACGAAATGACAACCCAAACGATAGAGACTCCACGGAAAGTGATAGGAAAACCTGCGAAATATGGACTTTAATTGACGATGCAGTATGTTTATGGAGTCGTTTCCCCTCCAACGTTGCACACCGTTGTAGATGTTATTCGATTCAGAACCAAAGTAAGGGTTAAAGCTGTACGCACCAGAGCGAACACGAGTCCACACCATCATTTCTTAACAAAAATAATCTTAGAACGAAATTCGTCACGTTCTTTATTTCCATAAAACAAACACAAATACTTTCGTTTCTAATTCAAAACGACAATTCCATCCCCTTTCCCTTGATGACTCTGCCAACAGGTCAGGGCTGAGGAGGTCAGTGACGAGGAGTGGGGTCAGTACCTGGAGAGCGAGTGGGAGAGCCATGGCATCGTGCCCTCCTTCCTGCCCCGCCCCCCTCCGTTCCTCATCAACGTGAACTATGGCGACCACTTGTGCGTGCACTTGGGTTCACTTATTACGCCGGCCCAGGCAAGACACCAACCCAAGACTCTGCAGTAAGAAGCTTCGATATTGTACCCTAATCAGTATATCTATAACATATAACAAAAAAGAAATCATTATAACATGTCAAAGTTAATGAGTTCCAAAAATATATCTAATTAATAAAAAAACACACCTGATTAATTCCACGGTTATCAAAACATATAATTTCCGGTAAGCATAACTTTCCCAGGGAACGCGAGTTGCCGCGTCGTATTTACGGCAAGCGACCGGCCATTTTGTCCTATTCAAGCCCCAGCGCTCGGCAACAAGTTAATCTAAATTGGCCCGCCTGTGAGCCTCATCTACAATTGCGCCGTTGCCCACAGATTCCCGGGAGAGACGGGTCGGTATTACGCCCTTCTGCTGTTGGACCTGGACCACCCTTCGAAGCCCTACGTCAACTGGATGCTGGTCAATATCCCTCACAAGCAGCCACAGAAGGGTCAGTCCATCGGTTTATATCCATCTCATCTTCAACTGGTATTCCTCAACAGTAATCTAATTTCCATTGTCAATTTCACGGCAAACAAGACGAAGCTCCGTGTACAGGGAAGAGTAAATAAGAACAGCGATACTCCACATAATAGGCAAACAGGCCCGAGTGCCACACACTCCCTGAAGTCCTAAACCAAATCAAGTCGCCAAACTTTCCCCAAAGCTTAACTCAACTTCTCCTTCATCTGTGCCTTAGAGTCCTTGATCCCCTCCCCCCTCCCCCCCCCATGTTCTACCATTGGCTGATCTGTGCGGTCTTGCGGTTCCGTCCTTAGGTACGGAGGTGGTGCAGTACGACCCCCCACGACCTGCTCAGGGATCGGGTTCTCATCGTGTGGTGTTCCTGCTGTTCCTCCAGCAGGCCGCTATCCCTCCTGACGACCCTGCGCTTCCCAAGGCCAGGTCGTGTCAGGTCAGTGTTCAGTCATTTTTGTGAGCTATACAGCTGTAAATCCTCGTTGCATAGGCTAGTAATACCTCTGTTCCGAAAGCGTTTCTTACAAAAGTCTCTTTGAAATACACTTTACAACTCACCCTTAAGCGACAGTAAGTTTCTATGCTAATTTTAGATTCATTTTAGACATCTGAGGTAAATGTATACATGGAAACCCCCCTGCAGATCTCTTGATCCACACGATTCGAACAGCTTAATCCTAAATGCGTCTGAATACGTTATTGCTCAGTGTCAACAGAGAGATAAATTTATATTCTGTCGTATCTATCTGACTGTTTATAATGTCTCATCTCAACCTTCTGGCGTTCCCTCCGGGGTTCATCAACAATGTATATACCATACACGTCTGTCCCTTCCCTGACAGATATCCGGTCGTGATGTCGTGGATCTGGACGCGATGTCACGTGACCTGGGGCTGAAGGGTCCTGTGGCAGGGAACTATTTCCTGGCCGAGTGGGACGTCACGGTCGAACACAGCTGCACTCCGCCTCGCCAGTAGTGCACTCGCGCCCGCACCTGCTTACAGTTCGTCCAGCTTACTTGCCTGTCTACAAGAATCGCCTAATCACACCAGAGATGCAAAGGGCAGTTGAGCAACACGCTGTTGCACCCACTTCTCTACGTCACAGCTGGTGGCATCGTCAACGCTCCTCACCGACGCCCTTGCCCAGCTGCAGTGTAGGCGTTGTCTCGGGAACTCCAATGTTTAAAAGTTCTATCGAATCCCATTCTGATGGAATTTAACTAAATAATGAATTCATAGTTGGAGTAATTAGTTTTAAAAGCTGGCAATGTAACGATTTCCACGGTGGGTACAAATTATATCAAAAATGAATAATCTAGTCTTATCATACACAATTATATTGTAAAAACAAACAATTACAATTACATAGATTAACCCAAATAAAAAATATATATATATGCAAATATACATAAGATTAATTCCTTAATTCTATCTATAACTATACAAAATAAACACTCGAATAAATGTAAGTTAACCACTCTATACGACTTTTCATTTGCCTCTCCTGCCGTCACGCAAGACTCGGCACCACCCGCGAGGCCTAACACGCCCCCTCGCCTCAGCCTGCACGGCGCGGCCCTCCTGTCCGGCCCCACTGCCTCGCCGCGGGGAGGATGGTATTACAAACAACGTCCACATGTATATGCATGCAGGTAGAATTACAAATACCCACGATCAAATTTGACAGGAGGAATATACACACATTTATGCAGTATGTATCTGCACATGTGTACTATATGTATGTTTTTTTTATATATAAAAAGCGTAGACATCCCACCCAAACTGAGAGGGAGAGGGAGAGAAGAAGAGAAAGAGGGAATGACTATGTATCTTTTCCATATGTATTCCGCACACCAAACTCTTCTTCCTACCTTCCCTCTCCCCCCCATTTCGCAACCCCATCAATCTATTCGACTTCTTTTTCCCCGAATTTTTCTCACACTTCCCCGCTCCCCTTTTTCCTCCTCCCCTCCGCTCACGCCATCCCCGTCCATTCCTATCCGCTGCGTCAGGCCCCGTCCCTGCCCTCCCTCCCCCCTCGCCTTGCGTAATGAAATACCCGTCCTTCAATTAACTGGTCACAGAATACTTCACATGTATTATGTCAAGAGAGATCCGCCGCAAGGAATAATGCTAAATTGGAAGAGCCATTCGGTCGGTCCTCCTCTGCCGTCCCGCCATATTCTGGCCTTTCGATCCGGGACTTTGCGAAAAGGAACCTTAATGACGCCATGTTGGTTAAGAACTTTTGCTGAGTATTTTCCCTTCTCTGGGGGGTCTGTAAACATGACATTTAATGAATGTATTTTTCTGCTTCGAAAAAGAGAGAGAGAAAATAAACAATGACAGTTTTTTAAAATGTCTTCAAATTCCGTCTAATAATGTTCAGACTTTATAGATTTGAAAGCGAAGCTCACAGCGCTTCCGGCGAAGCCCTAAGAGTTGTAACGTCAGTCTGGAGCCGAGATGCGCGACTTACTTCCTCCCTGATAATATCGTCTTGGTTTCCGACGTCCAGCCCGACGTACGAGGACTCCCTGCGATTAAACGACTCATTTCTCTGGAGCACACTCTCGAGAGCGAGACTGATCAGCTAACGCCATTTCTTCTCTTAACTAAGGTTTCGAAGACTCCAATTAGTAGCGAAGTGGCAGACGTCCATCCTAACAGTATCAAAGTTGACTAATACACTTTTCTCGACGCCTGTGCCTCCCCCTTTCTCTCGCTCTCACTCCCCACTTCGTTCCATTTTCTCTCTGTTCTTCTATATTTTCTCGTTTCTCACCTTTCCGATGTCCTCCTTTAAGATTCCGTTTGTCTCTATTACTCTCGTTTTCCTCCAGTAAGGGGAAAAACAAAGACATACGACAATACTCCTCTCCCCCAGTCTTCTCCGCCAACCTTCCTACCTGCTCTTCCCCTCCTTCTCCCTTCCTGCTCTACCCCCCCCCCCCCCCGGCCCCTCAGGTAATGCTACCCGCTGCCCGATCATGCGGAAGGAAGAAGGAGCTCGACTTTCTGCTTGTGAAAGAAAGGCACATGCTTCGTTCCTTCAAGCTCTGCCTTTTTCGGGGAAACAAACAAATGCATAAAACAGAGTGAATGGCTCTTAATCATTATTTGCACTGGTCGAGCATATTCAGTTCATATATTTTTTTTTCTCACTAATTAATGTATCTTCCCCCATGATTGGTTAAGCAGTTATAAACGCACTGAAACGAGTATATAGTTTACATCAACACATTTATTACGCAAAAATGCCAGTTACCCTGTATGTTTATCATTAATTCTTCTCTCTATCAGCGCCATGTATATTTTATAATCATTTCCACCAAACTTTATTTTTTTTCTAATTTCACACACAACAAAATTCATTCGTTTCGTTACGATTATCAATCCATCAAAATTCTTATCACACATCATATTGCAAACAAAAAAATAATAAAATGCCAGCATCATTCATTTCCAAAATCATTAATCATTCAACGCATCGACATATTTCACAGAGCACGTCATTGGGCACCTTCATACTCAAAATCATATTTCTGATATCAAACGCCATTATCATCGGATCAATTACTATTTGTCCGACCTTTCAGAACAAGGGGTCGACCAGATAAATCTAATAGGCAAAACATAATAGCCTGAGTGAGCAAAATAGAAAGACGATGAGAGGGGCCGGCATCAAACGCCCCCCCCCCCTTTCCCCCGCAACCACACATTACCAATAACAATCTCCCCTTCTGCCAATATCACCCCTTCCCCCCCCACCCCCTTGCACGCCGGAGGAGAGAACCGTGCGTGACATATTAACGGCTTAGCGCTAATTTAATTTTAAGGTCTGATCGACTTAACGGGTTGAATCGGAAGGCATTTGCATATTGAACAATATCCGAACATTCTCCGATTCGGCGGAAATAAGGCCAGCTGACAGCCTGTCCTATTGTGGACGCTATAAGCTTCACGGGCCCTCTGAAACCTGGGATCCAGCGAGGCATCCACGTCGACAGGGAAATAAATACACAAAAATCAAATAAAAGTGACGAAAGGATGTGTAAATAAAATAACTTCGAAAAAGATCCTCACGGAATTCACTCCTCCCATTCAAAAAGCCTTTGATACCCAAGAGCATTTTTGCCTTGCGTTGCGGACGCTCTTGCAAAAAGACGATCAAACAGGAAAATGCGTGTTAGGCGACGAAACACCAACCTCAAAAGAGGTTACGTGAGCACAGCTGGTTTTCTCTCACGCTCCTCGCCGAGTTTTGACTCTGTATTAATTTGCATTTCAACTTTTCGCTCGGCAAAAATCTTTCAAGTTGTTAAACAATCTCGGGATACGAAGACAAGTTAAGTGGCTTTGGTTCCTTTGTCTAAACACGCACGAATACTGGGAAAGGCTTTTATATTTTCGCGTACAGTTGTGTTAAACATTATTCCTAATTTCTAAAGCGAATCTTACACCCTCGGACATCTTCATCTCAAATATTCCCTCGCTAAAAAGAAAAAACAGCGCCGGTGAACCACGTTATCAATAATCAGAAAGGAAAGGACAGGGAGAAAAGATGAAAAGAAAGAAATGAGACACGACAGAAGAGGGGAGCCAAGACACAATACCTTTTCATCGTAGAACCCGGGGTCGTCTGACCTCTGTTGACCCAGCAGGCGGTCTGTTTCTTGGTCGGTGTCGCCATCTTCTGAAAGGAAAAAAAAAACAGGTTGGTCATTAATTCAATTAGTTTTGTGGATATCACGCCCCCTTGAGTGCCGTGACGAGTTAGTCTAACTAATAATTACCTGTGTATAATGAGTTACATATATATTCCCTACATGTTTACAAGTAAGCAGAGCACACGCGTATAAATAGAGGGGGCAAATAAAACCTTAAAGCATTAAAAAGGCTTTAAGGCAAAATTTCAAGCGCATACGTTAAAATAATCACATGATATCTATGCAAGGAGGAACCATCCTTGACAGTGATTATATTTTCCTTCCTGCCACCATCGCCACTATCGCCGCTACCCTTAAGAAAAAATGAGGCGAAGAAATATAAGAAAAACGAGAGAGAGAGAGAGAGAGAGAGAGAGAGAGAGAGAGAGAGAGAGAGAGAGAGAGAGAGAGAGAGAGAGAGAGAGAGAGAGAGAGAGAGAGAGAGAGAGAAATCAAGAAGACGGAGAAAGAGGCTGGCCCTTTCTTGAGAAAGAAAAAAAATATATATATAATCTGGTGGGAAGATGAACATTTAAGACGCAGCATCCCGTGTTTGGCCAACTCTTATCCCTCAGCGCCACAGTATAACGTTTCAACATGTTCCCCCATGCAAATCCTGAAGCAAAATTACACAGTCAACAAGAACGTAACAAAGCAAACACGGCGAGTCCCGAGGAAAACAAAGTCGCGAGCCACAGCATATATCTTCGTGCTCCGAATATTCTACAAGGAGGAAAAAAGTGACGATACCATCCCCCCCCCAAAAGAAAAAAAAATCAAGAGATGGAGAATAAGGGGGAGAGCAGTCAAAATACGGCGTAAAGGTCAAAGTGTGACGGAAATACGAGAGACACACACACAGGCGGAGAGAACAGAACCGGAGAGAAAAGGGAGGAAGGGAAACAGTGGATTAGCGG